AGGGGTGGGGAGAAGGGAAGGGGCGCGGGGGCTCCGGGGCAAATAACTGCCCGGACCCTACCACCATGGCCCCTGGCGGTATGGTTAGACAGTCTACCGCCAGGGCCCCTGGCGGTAGGGTGCGACGGAGGGGGACGGCGCCGTCTCCGCGCGCTGACGTGGATAAGTTTCCTACCGCCATGGGCCGTGGCGGTAGGCTATCTAACCCTACCGCCAGAGGCCCTGGCGGTAGGCAAAAGGGTCAAATCTCGAAAAAATTTCAAACAGGGGTCAGATCCTGAAATACTTTCCAAAAAGGATCAAAACACGAAATTTTGCCTTCCTCTGACGGTTCTGAGGAAATGTTCACGGGTGGCTATAGCATCTGAACAGATATATAGAGAGAAAGATGATGACCGCAACTATCAGCCGTAGAGATCACATGGCAAGCTTCTGTTCACGGGCGGCTACCGATCGAGGATCCACTTTGATGAGCCTTTCTGGTGTGCGTAGAGTACTTTTTTGTCTCTTGCTTCCTGGTAGCCCTCTTTTTTATGATATGATACACTGACGACATGATCAGGTCATCAGGATCTTGCATCTTGCAATGGAAACGCAATGAAATTCTGCTGCTGTATGATGTCATTGTCACAGCGAAGAAACGGAAATTCTTTCGATCATCCTTGCGACTTGGGATACAGAAGAATGGGATCACGCCATGGCACTTGATGTGGTAGTGATTCCATTCATCAGTACAATCATCGTTCATCAATTGCATCCGCGTGTGAAAGTTAAGGAGGGAAACGGAGCAGAAAAAATGACAGAAGAAAAACAAAAACAGCGTGACCCGCTGAAACCATTTCCACAGTTCCATTCAACCGTAAGCACTCAAGCTCCGCCGCTGCAGATGCCGGTGAGCAGCACCGGTAGCCTCGCCAGCGACAACGACCCCTGGGCGGACCTCCGCAGCTTCCACTTGGCCTTCTGATCCTCCACGACCGCGGTCGCAGACGACGACGGCAGCACCCTCCCGTTCTCGAACAGCGGCACCGTCACCTCCCCGCCGTCGCCGGAGAGCTGCCTCTCCATGTGCAGGAAGTGGGCCAGCGACGTCGTGCCGCCGACGTCGTCCCTGCACAGCCGCCACCAGCTGGCGCCGCGACGCGGCCTCCACCTCCGGCGCCACGTCCAGCCCTCCTCCCCCGGCGCCGGCGCGCGGGGCCTCTCCTGCTCGTCCGCCGCCTGCTGCGTCTCCGGAGGCCGGTCCTCCCCGTCGGCCAGGGACACGCCCATGAGCGTCCCCAGCGTCGTGCTCCGGTCCCGGAAGAAGGAGCATGTGGACTGCGCCGAACGAATTAAACCGCGCATGTCAATGGAACACGAGCATGAACACCAACAAGATTGACTCAGCGCGTGCGCACCTCGGTGTCGATGTCGGAGGAAGAGGACGACGTCTCGGCGGAGGGCGAGGAGGGGATCATGCCGGCGTCGTTGTCCATCGGCGTCCTTCCTTCCCTTCCGGCGAGAACGTACGCTGCGATGCTCTGCGGCAGCGGGCGTGACACTGTAGTGGGCGATGGGCGTACTTGCAAGATTTGTCCCCTCCGGCGTCGAGGGCGGAGAGATTCGCGGGCCGGGACGGTGCTGCTTTATGCGCTGCGAGACGCAGACGCAGGTGGTGGCAGTGGCGCCAGGGCAGCAGCGGGTCAAGGGAGCCCTGCGGCGGCCGGCCCCTGTCCGTGACCGGTGAGATGAGTGAATGCTCGAGCCCTGAGCTTTTGACTGTTGTGTGGGTGGGGAAGGGTACAAGCAAAACCTGCAAAGGCATTTAGCGTAGGCTGATTATATTAAGCGACTTCCGAGGCGTGCTTTGACTCTACTGTTCCTGAGCACTTGGCACCGTGTGGCCATCCAATATGTATATTTATTTTTGAAAAGGAATGTGACCATCCATCCATATGACCAGGAGCTACAGTTTACTCTGAGGGCTAGAGTTATTGTTTTGACCCTTCGATGGTGATATTAGCAAAGAAAAAATGGCCCTACTTTTTTCTACAATGGTATGATATAAGTACAAGCTACCGTTATAGTCAGCGGCGGCAACCCTAGGCCTACGGACGGTGACCACATGACAAAAGTCTACCACCAACTCCAAGGGCCGCAACGGTAGCCTTCGCACCCCTACCGCCGAAGGCTCCGACGGTAGCCACCCGATCAGGTTAGGGGTGTGCTTGGTTCCCAATCGAGTTTTCACGTTTCCCCCATTCTGATCCGGAGTGTGGCTGCCACATTATATGAAGAGATTGGTTTCATATATGATGTTTGGTTAAAGTCTGAAAGATGCAAATACCTGGCGTTTGATTGCTCACGACCTAATATTGTGGTCACCTTTCTTCACCGGCGGTGACCTTACTACAAACTACAACTATAGAGACAACACCAAACATATTTTCATTCCTAACTACTAAGCAAATGGCAGTTTCTCCTGATAGGCCCATCTACTAACTAGTGCTAGTTATAGGGACATGGGAGAGGTTCATCAATGCAATCAAGGGGAAGTTCACCATCCTCTTCTACTTCTTATTATTATCTAGATCTTTGTACCTCTAGCAGCTCGCATTGGCTTAGCCCACTCCAACCTTTTACACTTCCAAGCTTCATTATCATGTGCCTTCACACCATGGCCTTGGTCAATATCATCAACGGTCACATCATCCTCACCGGTAAGGGTGCAAGCGGCGCGGGCTGTCCCGCGTGTCCGCAAAGCCTTTGCCCCGCTAAACACAGTAAAAGTGGGCACCGGCGACGAACCGCATAACTTACATGCGATTTTGCGGTTGTCCCGCGAAACCCGCATGTGCCCGCATCCCGTGAACAGGCGTGCGTCCTTACCACATTACTCCAGTGATCTTTGCTTTGCTGCCGTTCAACCTGAACGTCGGCCTTGCTGGGAGCAGCTCTCAAAAATCCTGCTGCGTGCTCCCACTCATCCACGTTCTATTTCCTGGAATGAATCCAAACCACACTCTTCGCGCAATATAGTATATCGGTATTGATTAGCTATTTTTTTAAATATTTTTGTGTACACATTTGGGCAAACTTAGAAAGCAATGATTTTTTTACTCTGTTTATACACCATGTATTTCGGGATGGACGTCCGAACAGATAGGCAGACATATGGGGTACCGTGTTAGGGCATCTCCAACGGCGACCCACAAATTTCCTCCCACAACTGCCCACAGATAGGGGTGCCAGTCCACATTTTTGAACTAACCAGACGAATTTTGCGCAAACATGACTGCATTTCATATAAACCGGATGACATTCATGCGAACACGGCGGGTTTTCATTGCATTTCAAACATTTAGAAGGAAAAAAAACTATGGCGGGCGGCAGACGTCCAAGCCCTTGTTGTTCACTTCCTGGACCACCTCCTTCATCCACCATCTACATGAGCACCGGCAATAAGACCCGTGAAGTGCAGGTGCGGTCTTCGTCGAGGAAGAGTAGAACATGGGATACGGATCCGTCCACATGGGTCACAAGGCCCTGCTGCCTCACATGCCTTACTCATTCTCGGAGGAGTCTGCGACCTGTCTGCCGCAGTTGGACATGAGGTCCACAATGAAAATGGTGGCGCCTATGCTGTTGCCATACCACCAGGCCACGCGATAGTTTGGTGGCGGCGCACAGGAGGCAAAACTGATGTTGTTCTCAGTGGCGATCGCCTGCAGCTGCACCTCCGCGACGGCCGCTTCCCAGCGAGCGAAGACTTGAGCGTGAACGGCCTCGTAGGTCGCACGCTGTTCCGCAACGAAGTTTGGGGTCACCGAGGCGATGGTCGCCACGGCCTCCTCGCTTGCGTGCTCGCCGTCGATTTGACCCTTCGCCAGCTGATGCTGTTCTACGAGGAACAGGTTGTACCATCGTTCCTCCTGCACCTGCTGGAACACCGGCATAGGCGCCGACGCAGGTTGCTCCTCCACTTAATGGTGGAGCAGCTAAATTAAAATCCGAACACATTAGAAAGGACACCCTTGGCTAGGTGTCCGGGTGCGTCAATGCGCAGTGGTGGAGTGGGTTTCTCGGTCGGCGAGACTACTTAATGATGGCATACGGACGGACGGGGTATCGAACGGGCGTGGTAGATATCCATCCCATCCCATCCAGTAACACGTCTTTGGCATTGAATAGGCACAAACATCGGGGACGCGCTGCAGGTGGCGCCCTCGGCCGGCGCGCTACTTCAATGATGGAGGCGGTGAGAGGTCGCGTTCGCTCTGGGCCAGCTTCAATGTGGAGCGGCCGCTTTACAGCGGCATGAATGCTGGCAGCTGACGCCGGGCGGGAACGCGCGCGGTCGAGGGACGAGGGTGGGTGGGCCAGGGTGGTCAAAAGCAGGCGTGGGTGCTGTCTGGACGCCGATAAATTAAGCCCACACGTTTGTCTATGTTTTACGGAAGAAATACGTTTGGACCGTCCTGTGAACCGATGCATGACCATGTTGGATGGTACAACAAGTTTGAACCATGTGGTCCGGACGGTTGCTAGCGGTTTGAGAGTAGGCGTTAGAGACACACTTAGATGACGAAATGGGTACGAACAGGTTGTCAGCGTTGGAAATACCTCTATTGATTACTATGAGCACTGCGCTGTCGATTATCACGGGATGACCTCAACTAATCAGCTCATACAGTTCATAATTTTATTATTCAGCACGAGAGTTTGTGCGCCTATTTCTTCATGATGTATTCAGCTTTGTATATATTGGATGTAATTTATGGACACATCTTGCTTGCGGGCTCGCGGCGTAGCGGCCACCCGCGTATACCGCGTATGCAAGCCGCATATCCCGCGCGGCCGCTCGCGTTCTGGATCGCGGGATGCAGGACGGCCACAACCCGCCCCACTTACAACCTGACTCATCGGGCACATACCCATCAAGACCAAACCCTAAGATTCAGTTATGAAGAATGCAAGATGCAAGAACATGATTGCTTTTTTTATAAAGTAGGGAGAAAGCCCATTTCAAGAGTTATGAGGAATGCAACATGTAAGAACAAGCTTAATTTGGGTGGAGAAAGGGTTTAGTGGCTTCTAATCAAGGATCTTAAATTGGTTCCGCAAAGCACCAAATACCCTCTCAACCGCATCACTAAGGCTAGAGTGTCTCGCAAATGGTTGTCAGAATCGTGATTCTGAATCGGCTCGCAGCTCCGATGGTATGATCACAAATCGTAGAATCTTAACTATCAGAATCGTAAAAACATAGATTCTACTAACCAAAATAATAGAATCAGAGTGGTTAGTTTGGATCGTAAAGTCATAGAATCGCACAATAGAATCACGATTCCGATAACCTGACTGAGGTTGAAAAATTTCATGGCAGTGTTGGGAAAGTTCTTTGTAGAGAGCTAATCAAGATGGTATCTGATTTCCCGAAGGATAGAAGAACCCCAGACTGACAAGCATATCCAACATCTGCTAGGTAGAACTTACCACCACGAATAGTGATCCCATCAGATTGAGTCATGCTGTCACCAAGATTTTTTGCGTCATGGTTGATCCTTCCAAGCCAACTAACACATATATGAACTTGAGATTGAAATCAAGAACATCAAGCACATTTTGGCTTGTATAGTGCTTTCTACCTTTGTATGTTGTAGCATGTGACCTCAACACTCTAACGTCACATGTGTACCATCAATTGGACCAATTCAATCCTATGATGGCATGAAAAAATTGTTATGTTTCACAACAATAAAATCATGTCATGTCTTGAACTAGAAGTTAGTACCACTCACCTTGAAATATGGATAACATATATATCTCATTTGTATCTTCGAAGGAGTTTGACTAGTAGGTGACTTGATCATCTCTCCTCTGGGCTCTCCAATCACATACAAGACTTTCTTGAAACACCAGGAACTTGTCTCACTGGATCTCTTGAATGTGTTGTGAATCACTCAGAACCTCTAGTTATGACCTACAACAAGAGGGAACTTTGCTACTTACTATCCCACAGAGGTGTGAATGCTATATTTTAGCAACTCACTCTCCCTAAACATCTCCACAAATGCAGAAAAAGTGGATATTCTCACTCGAAACATGTTCACAGCCTCTACATTATTACATCTACAGATATAGTTCAGATCCATCGTCCTCTCCATATGCATCGGGAAACATTGGAGCACATGTGACCATGGGCCTGTAATTGCGATGAACCACTCTCTTGTGGATCAACATGAGCCAAACCGTAAACACATATATGAGTGTTGTTGCTTAAATGTAAATCTTAATTTGTTCGTCCTAGTGAAATCGATGTTGCGGTAAGTAACAGTGAAATCGACCTTACACCTTACCTAACGACCTAAAAGTGGAGGCATGGAGGGTGGTTGTATGTTGCTTACCTCCATGGGAGATGACAACGAGAACCTGCCGGTGCCAGAGACGAACGAAGGGGACAAGCAGCTGGCGGAGGAGAGGAGCACGTTCGGTC